GGGGTGCCATTAGAGGGAAGATTTAACGTGCGGCTAAAAGCATTTGTAGCAGGAGCTGTGGGTGGGTTCCTTTTTAAGCTCCTGTGGCTGGTAACTTGCGCCTCTCCCCTCCGTGCTGTTGGGTTTTGTTATTGAAGCCTTTTTCTTTTCTGAAGGAGGTTGGTCATTAACTCTCCCCTGCCCAGAACATCCCCTGGCAGGGACTGAACTGGAAATCTCTCCTACGTCATCAGGCCTCAGCAGGCTGGCATGACGACTCCAGGCATCTTGCCATCCTCCGTCACTGCCCCTCACCCAGATCAGGTGCCCTGGTGTCTCCTTACGCTGATGTTTTGCAGAAATAACTACAGTATAGCCTTGCAAATGGAGCCTCGAATCTATCAACCCCCAGAATTTGTATCAACCAACACTGTGAGTCTGCCTCTTCCCACGCCTTGAGGGCCAACAGGCTACTAGCACAGCAGGAAGAAGGCTGGGGCTTTAGAAGAGAAACTTGTCAAACTTGTCATTTTATAGAAACTTCCTGGGTTGTTTTTTTTTTTTTTTTTTTTGACTGAAATTTTTTTTTGCCCCTGAAGACTGGAGTTCTTTAAGGCTCTGCTTGAGCCCCCTAAATCTTTGTCCCAGAATAAGTGTCCCATAGTCCTAACCCAAGTCTCAGATGTTTCGTCTGCAAGGCAGAGAGAGTAACAGCCACTTATCAAATAAGAGGCTACAGTTAAAAGCAAAGAGCACAGGCTTTGCACATGGGAGGGACTCAATAAGCACACACCAGTTACATCTTTTTCAGTTACAAGTGACAGAAACCCCAACCAAAGTGACTAAATAAAGAGGAAATATATTGGATTGGACAAGTGACCAACCCCTGGGCTAAGCCTGGCTTTGGACACCTATAGTGTGGCTCAAAACTGTCTCCAGGACCAGCTTTCTTTCTCACCACCCCTTAGCTGGGTTTCTTATGTCCTGGCTCCACATCATGCAAGACCTGGTGGCAGCAAGATGGCAGCACCTGCATCACGATGACAGCTTCACATCTCAAGCCCAGTAAAGAACAGGGCTGCTCTTCTCCATCACGATTCACTTAGGTCCTAAGCCAGAGGCTCACTGGATGAGTTGGGTCACATGCTCACCCCTAAGTCAATCACCATGCCTAGAGCTTGGTTTAACCCTGAGTCTCAAACTCTACCTGGAAAGGAAGGAGGGAGAGAGGAACTGAGAGTTGCATAAAAGATGTTTCTCCAAAAGAAATGTATAATGCCAATGCAAAAACATAAATAAATAAAAGTGGCCATGGAGGAGGTTAGGTACCCAAACATAGAACCATCTGCTGCAAATAATTATTTCCAGGATTGAGGAAGATAAGGATAATTTGACAGTTATGTATAATGGCAATATTCAATCAAGAAAAGCTCACACAGAGTCTCCACAACCTTTCTACAAATTACACTCTTCTCCATGTTAGTAATATTATGATAGTTCTACTAGAGTTACTTACTATACAACTCTGTCAT